ATGGATGTCTTGGCTAGTTATAGTATATTCCAGGAACTCCAGCTTGTCCACGACACCGGCTACTTCTCAGCTTTGCCATCCTTGGAGGAAAACTGGCAGCAGGTGAACCATTTAAATTACTCCTGTAGATCTCTTTTTTTAAGTGCAGGCAGTCGGTGCGTTGGGGCTGCGTTTCTGACTTTTATTTTTGTTCTTTAATTCACGGTTGGCTTTTTATTTTTTTTTCTGCGTGGGTAGACCTTTAAATCTCTCTTTTAAAAAAAAAWWWTWWTTTTTTTTTGCAATGAAAAAACTGAGCAGTCACCTCAAATCTGTCGCCTTCAGCCCTTTCTAAGCACGCTCGGCAACACCTGAGATCCGGTGAAAATCTTGAGGGTTTTGTGTTTTTTTAGGGGGGGAGAAGGAGGGATGACTACTATTTTCCTTTTATTTTTCTGCTTAGGTTTCTTTTTTGCTTATTATTGTTGTCCTTTTAAGCAAGGCTGCTCCGTTCCAGCCAGCACTGACAACTGGCAGCTGGTGGAAACGGAATAAATTGTTCTTATTTTCAGGTAATTAGTGCAACGTCAATAAAAACCCCGGCTTAATTCAGGGCTGTGGGGTGGCAGGTGTGTGTGGAAGGAGTGGTGAAAGGTTTTAGGTTAGATCTGTAAGGAGGGAGGTGACTTTTTTATATATGTTTTTAGGAGGTGGCAGAAACGCRCTCTTAAAACAATGATGCCTTGGGCTGGTTTCCGTGAACAGCGTSTTTGGAGGCACCACAGGGTGAATGTGTAGAAGGGATTAGCGTGTTTTTAAAGCGGGGAAAATCAAATCTTCTGAATATATTAAAAATGAGATTGGTGGCATGAGTGGTAATACCAGGAGTAGGTTAAGAGAAAGCAGTTGTGTAGCATTAACAGCGAACCCAGGTGCTTGGGGCTGTAAGTAGTTCCTAGCTGGGATACTGAGGGACGAGAGAAGATATCCTGCTCGCTATGGCAGGATGTCCGAGCTAGCGCCGTTCCTGCGTRTGGTTTCTTGGCAGAGGCCATCTGAGAGCGGAGCTGCTGTAAGCGAGTGCCTTTAAAAGGACAAGACAGCCCAAATCGGCGTGTTCTGCGAGCAGAGTGAAGCGTGGCCGGGCTGACATGTGGAGCTCGTGCAAGGACCGTGACAGCCTCGTGTTGAGGGACACGAGCTCCTGGATGTCCCCGTGCGGGAATGGGTCCCCRCGGAGCGGGACACCCGCTTGGTCCCGGGGGTGCCGGGGCTCCGGCCAGCTGCATCGTCACAAAGCTTTACCACAAAGCTGGGCTTGTTCTGGGCTCAGCTTTGTGTCCCTGCGTGTGCGCGCACGCCGAGGGGGGCTTTATTAGCAGCCGCACGCGGGGTTGCGTTTGCAAAACCCAACTTTGCTTTATCCTCCGAGGGGGGTGGGGATGCTTTTTGTCATTGAGATGCAGCTCCAATGTCCGTGATGGTCGCATCTGCTTTCCCTTTATAATTTTAACATGCCAATTAAACTGAATAGGTTAATATCATTAAAAAGAGAGGAAAAAAAAGAAAAAAACACCACACGCACATTTAATTCCATAGTGTCATTATTGCTGAATCAGTCACGTATTAATAGCAGCCCAGACAGTCCGAGGCGAGATAATCTGTTGACACAGCCAGCACGCTTCAGGCAGTGTTGCGCGTGATACCCTGTCTCCTGCTGCCGCGTTCTGTGCGAGGAAGAGCAGCAGTTTGTTTCGCTACTCGAGCTGCTCGAGCACGCTGGTAGGGCGAGGAAATCTAGAGGAGCTCTCTGCTGGTTGAATCCCACGGACTCGTCGCATACGTTTGAAAGGAAAAGTTGCACATAATTTATTACATATCCCCTCATATCCTCATGCTGGGGTATGATGTTTCAAAATCTGCCCTGTGCTTACGGTGTTTTTTCCTCTATTGCTGCGTGGCCTTTTTGCAAACAAGGCAGTGGGGGCAGTCAGAGCTGGTTCGTGCTGTCATGCAGACTTGGCAGACCCAGTGACACAGAGACCCCAATTTCATTCCTCTGCATCGCGTTCGAATGCAGCCAGGGCTTGGGGTTTATTCACAGTGGACAAGTGGAAGCGTGTTTTTCTAAAGGTGTCCCTTAAAACTGGCAGCACCCCTGGGAATACTGCTGAGTGGGCACTGCCTGATCCCTGCGGGAGCCTCAGCACCGGGAAAGCAGCAGCTTCAATTTGAAGGGAAAGCACTTGAAGTGCTCGTCCCTCCATGCTTCTGAAGGGCTCTGCTGCAGTATCTGGGCCCCACGGAGGCTCCGGAGTGGATCTGCTCCCAGCAGCGAGGCAGCCCCTGCGGGAGATCACTCAAGAGCCCCTTGAAAGGGGAGAAGTCAACGCGTGGGTCAAGAGCAGGCTTCCCCATGGCATGCGAGCTCCAGGTGTCTCGGGATTAGCAGACTGCTGGCGTGTCCTCAGGGGGAGGTTTGTGGGGTCCTTGCTCGCTCCTGGGGATGGTGCCTGCTGCTGCACCCTGCAGCTACACCCTGTGCCCCCAGAGAGCTTGACAGCGCCTTTGGGTGACGCTCTGGTCCTGCGCTCTCCCGAGCCCGGCCCGCTTTCTGGGTGCTCGCTGGGCAGCACAGAGCTGGGGCAGTTGCTCGTGTTTCCGATTGCGAAACATCGATCGGGGGCTGCAGGGGCAGGTTGCTAAACACTTGCACTTGGCTCATCTTTCCTCTTTTTTCCCTCCCCAGTGCAAGGGAAGTGTGGGCAAGTTTGGTGCCTGCTCTGTTGACGCATGGTGCTGGAGAGCACTCTGTGCGTTCACATCTCAGGCCTTTGCTGTGTGTTGGCAGACTGGGACGCCGCGTGTTTCTGCCCGGTGCTGCTTTCAGCCTAGCTCTAGTGTGACCCGTCCGTGCCGTTGTCTGCTGTGAGGAGCCGGCTCGGCGTTTCAGAACCCGTTGCGGGGGATTTTGGCACCTGCATCTCTCTGTCCTTGTGCAGGGCAAGGATCCCTGCTCACATGTGGCATTGCTCCTGGGCTGCCCTCTGATGTGGCCTTCCCGAGATTGGAACCAGAGCGCAGGGGTGAGGACAGGAGCGTGCCCTGTCACCCTGCAGGTGAAGGGTGTGGGTCACAGGTGGGGATGGAGCTGTGAGCAGCGCAGTCCACGTGGCTGCACGTGGTCCCGCTGCTGGGGTGCCGTGCTGCAGAGGGGAGTGCAGGGGGTGGGATTTGGGCCGGGATTGACACAGCAAGCCCCGGCATGGAGGAGACCTTTGTTTTGCTGCTGGCTCTTTGTGTGTGTCTGAGCCCACGGCCGAGCCTTAGCTCGCCCCTGGCCAAAACGCCCGGCAGCAGCGACGCGCAGGCACCGTCGTCTGCGGGCTGGGAGCCTGAGCTGACCCCTCTGCCAGAGTGCTCTGCGCTTCCTGCTCCCTGCGCGGCGCGCATCCCGAAGTGACTCATCCACCAGAACTCTGCTACATCTTAATTCGGACTTCTCTTTGGCAGACGGTCATTTTGAGGCCTATAGGAAAAATTTCCACTGCTACTGGAAAGGAATAAATCACACAGGAGAACATTCCCGCCTCCCCATCGTCTCCATTGTTCTACTTTAATGGCATAGTTGGCCACTACATAAACCAAACCATCTCTTCTAATACTGCTATTTCATCTTGGTTCCAGTCGCAGTGTAACACATTTCCTAAGTGCTAATAGTACATCGTGCCTCCTGAGAATAACGTGCAGTGATGGTTGACTTCCAAGAACAGCCACGTGTGTAATACAGTGTGTTTCAGGCTCCGGGCTCTGCTCCGCTTGTAGCTGCAGGTTCACTCCGTGTGCTCAGGGCAAGCTCCTGTCGCCGTGAGAGGGGAATGGAGAGAAAGACAAACCAGAACTGCTCTCTGTATTGGTTTTTGATCCCTTATTACAGATTCTGCTGTTRTAAATGATTGTTTCTTGGCGCTGTGGAAGTGTAGAGCCCTGCAAACCACCTTATAAATGTTAAATAGCTGATTTTGTGTATGACTTACTGCATGTGATTTTTGAAAGGGGGTAAATGTCTTTGTTTAATGCACAATCACAGTATGCGTGCTAAATTAGAAAATATTTTCTCTTACTTGATATGCTTTAACCTTTCTGCCCCCCCAAGCCATCCGTATTTTTGTGTCCTACTAAGCAGGCAGAAGATACCTAAAAGCATACTGCATAAAAATGTTAATCTATAACTAGTTTGCAATGTGATACTTCCACGTGGAAATGCCAGGAGGTCTTCAGTTTCATACAGTAATTTCACACTTATGCTTTCCAAGGTGGAGGCAAACAGTCTCTTCTGGATATGCTCAAATTCTTTGAAGCTTTGTCAAATGATTCCTCTCTGAGAAGGGTCCGTTGTGCAGGTTCTCTGTCCTGTGTTAGGAAAGATGTTGCTGGGGAGAGAGAAGGAAGCTGCTTCTGCTTGAATCCGTGGCTGAACAGCGTTGCCTGTGACTGTCTTTCTGAAACAAAGGCGTTCTGCTGGCTGGCTGAGCAGCACTGGTGCTGAGATATGTCCCTCTTATCTCGCACCGAGTCTGTCACGTCCCGCAGAGGGAAGACACACCGTAAGCTTTTGATCACCACGCTCAAAACCTCAGCAAAAGTTATTCGCAGCTCTTGTAACTAATGGATATTTTCTCTTTGATGATGAAGCTGAGTGTCAGAGTTGATAAAGATGGTTTTAAGTGTGGTGCTGAATCCCTCTTGCTTTCCATTCAGTTTCTCTGGGCTCCCGGGTACCTCCTGCCCATTCCCTTATGTGAATGTGCAGCACCCTCCCGACTTTGTGACACCCAGCAATGCCCCAAAGCCGGGAGGGCTGTTTCTGTGGCTCTGTGCAGGCTCAGGTCCCTGCTGCACTCCAGCCCTGAGGTTCCTCTCCCCACAGCTCCTCTTTGTGCTATTGATAGCAGCTTCTGTCTTCATCCAGATTAAATTGGGGTTGAATTTCCATGGGTCACAACCACAAACAAAAAGAGCTGCCAGGGTAAGCACCTCCCTTCCTCCCCGTTCCTTCAACGTGCAGAACAGGTTTGCAGCGTAGCTGTTACCCAGCAGTGCTGCCAGCCTCGTGCTGTCGC